TTATTCTTAATTTTTTTTTACATTTTTATTTTTATTTTTTTTCCTATCAAAAAATTTTGTTAAAAATATGGACTTCCCAAACGATGTATTACATCACATAAATGTAGCTGTAGTCGTGATGATATTAAAAACAACTCATGGTTATAGCTTTGAAAGCCTTGATAACTTAAAAGGTATGATTTTTACTTATCGTTATTTAATCGTTATTATATAAATTATGTTAATCGTTATATTATCTTTATATTATCTTTATATTATCTTTATATTATCTTTATATTATCTTTATTCATATTATTTATTATACATTTTCTCTTCATTCTCTCTTCATTCTCTCTTCATTCTCTCTTCATTCTCTCTTCATTCTCTCTTCATTCTCTCTTCATTCTCTCTTCATTTTCTCTTCATTTTCTCTTCATTCTCTTTTCGTTCTCTTTTCATTCATTCTCCCTTTTCATTATCTTTTCATTCTCTCTTCATTCTCTTCAAAGACACTGGTATGTCCGATGAAATGTGGGTAATGTCTGAAAACCTCCACGATATATTAATAGAATGCTTACGCACTGAAGATTCTGTATTAAAATTCATTAACTGGTTTTTCGACGGGATTCGAAAAACTTTTGGTTCTCGAGCTGATGTTAATGATAATAATACTTTATCACTACCTGATGTTTGTTTTCAATGTGAACGCCCTTATACCAGTGGTAAATGGTGTCGTTCTTGTGAATCTTATTTATTTGAAGCAAATTTCCCAAATTGGTCTACTAGAAATGTTGAGTTGAATAAATTAATTCGTCAATCTCAACTAAATTCTTCAAATGATCAAAATTTCTTGAAATGGTTTCCTTTCCCTCAGTTTAAACATTTAAAAGATCTTGGTTCGGGTGGTTTTTCTTCTATGTATTCCGCTCGTTGGTCAAATGATGTTTTGGATGGTACTTTACAACAATGGGTATCAAATATGGAAATCCAAATTATTCTTGATTATGTTAAAAGTCATAATGTGCATTTATCCGAAGATGATTGGGATACTGTCTTGTCCGAATTTATGAAAAAAATGAGATTGATTTTTGAAGCTCGTAAAACTTTAAAATGTAAACCTGTAACCGATAATGATACTGATTCTTTAAAGGTTTGTATATATATATATGTGTGTGTGTGTGTTTTTTTTTAATCTTCTTTTTCATTTTTTTAATCTTCTTTTTCATTTTATCATTTTTTCTTTATCATTTTTTTAATCTTCTTTTTCATTTTATCATTTTTTTCTTTATCATTTTTTTAATCTTCTTTTTTTCTTCTTTTTTTCTTTTTTCTTTTTTTCATTCTTGTGATTACTAAATTATTTTGTCTTTTATGTTTTTATTTTGGTTAGTCATCACGATTTAGTAGTAAAATTAATAGTCGGGTTAATAGTTTGAAGATGAAAAGAAAAGATAGTATAGCAAGAATCAAAGGGCTTTTTCGATCTCTAAAAAAGGTATACATGTGTATATTATTACTTTTTATAATGTATTCTATGTTCTATAATAATTGTTCTATAATAATTATATATAATTGTTCTATAATAATTATATATAATTGTTCTATAATAGTTTTATAATAATTCTATAATATATTCACGATAACAATTAATTCATATTTAGAATAATTCCAGTACTTCTCTACGGAGTACGCGTACACCTAGCTCCGATTCTATATACGCAACTTCAAAGAAGATCAAACATGTGCCGGAAACAACTTCTCCTTTGAAGAATCGCCAATATCAAACTGTTGCGCTTAAACGATTACATAATTCCTCAAATATCTCGTCGAAATTCATCCATGAGGTTACTTTTATCTTTGATTAATTAATCTATATTATATTTATATTATATTTTATACCTATTAATCTAATCTATTATTATATTTTATTATATTTATATTATATTTATATTATATTTATATTATATTATAGTTTAAATCTTATCACTTGGTTTTGAAAAGTGATAGAATTCTTCGTTGCTTCGGTATAACTCAAGACCCTGAAACAAATGATTATTTTTTGGTCTCACAATACGCAAATGATGGTGATTTAAATCATTACCTTCGTCAAAATTTTGTTAATATTGATTGGGAGCAACGTTTAGAAATTTTAAGAGAAATTGTAAAAGGTTTAAAGGACATTCATGATGCTAATTTGGTTCACCATAATTTACATGGTGGTAACATATTACGTCATATAGAAAATTCTTCTTCAAAATATTTTATTGCTGATTTTGGTTTCTATTTTCCTTCCGATGCTACCGAAAAATCTCTGGGTTCTAAAGTTTATGGTGTTTTACCTTTTACGGCTCCTGAGGTTTTACGTGGTAATCAATATACTAAAGCCGCTGATATATATAGTTTGGGTATGCTCATGTGGCAACTTACTTCGAGTTTACCTCCTTTCCTTGATCGTCCTTATGATTTGGATTTGGCTAAAGAAATTTGTCAAGGTTTACGACCTGATATTATTGATGGTGTTCCTGATCGTTATATAGATTTAATGAATTTATGTTGGGATTCAAATCAAAATAATCGTCCCGATATAGATACTATTTTGAAATTTTTATCTTCAAAAAATGATTTCTCTGATGCTGAAAATTTTAGACAAAGATCTTTGAGTAAATCTACCCAACTTGATTTAGATGATTCCGTTAAATTTCCTTCCTCTAAACTTTTGGATTTTATTAATCTTCCTGAACCTAAAAATTCGGTTATTACTTTAAAATCCGGTATATCTGATTTATCTCTTAATTCCGTTGATGGTCCTAAAATTTCGGATTCTTCGGAAAATAAACCACAAGGTATTTATTTGTTGTATTTGTTGTATTATTTGTTGTATTTGTAAAATTTATAAATTTGCATAATATGTGATCTACGTTTCACTTGTCGTAAATTTATTATCTTTACTAAATACTTTTACTAAAATATCTTTACTAAATATTTAAATATCTCGTGTTATCTGGTATAGGGAATCATCAGATTAATTTAAGTATCGACTCTGCTGGTACGTTCGATTTTCCTTGAATATATTGTACAATTTATACAATTATGCTCATTATTTACTACTTTTTTTTACAGTCGGTATGTCACCAATGAAATAAGATTAAAAAAAAAAAAATACCGGTTATATTTTTTTTAATTTTTGTATTTAAACTCTTTTTCCTGTAAAATATCATGTCGCTATTTAGAATAGAATACTTGGTTTTTGTTTTTAAAAAAAAAAAATATGGGAGGGATATATAACATACACATGTATTTTTAGTTTACCAATTTTTTTTATAGACATTTTTGTTACACTTTTTATTTATTTATTTATTTTGTGAGATATATATTCGATGGTTTTTTTTTTAAACTATTATTATTCAATCATTGCATTTTTGTTGTACTTTAAAAAAAAACTTTCTCTTTTTTTTCTATTGTTGTAATAAGACTTACTAGTTTATTATTATCGTTATGACTTTTTTTTTGAATTTCTTTGAAATCAAAATTTTTTTTTTTTTTACACAGTATTATAATAGAATTATTTGTTAAGATTATTATATATCGATACGTGACTTTAAGAACAATCTTTAATATGAATTACAAAAAATAACGGATTCAAAAAATAATAAATAAGATTATGGATTTATGAAATTTGATTTTCTTTGTAAACATCGCGATATGATCGACGCTATGTAAATTCACGTACATACAGTATTTTTTAATCGTTTACATGATCGTGTATTTCGAGACTTTCTGTAAATGGGAATTTTTAGAGTATTGCTAATTGCAATTAGTTTGGTACGTACAAAAGCAGTAGCAATTATAAGAATACTTAGAGAAATTCTAACAGAAATAGATAATATAAAACCTCTACAAGACATAAAAGTGTTACAAGAAGCTAATGATAATTGAGCAAGCACGGGCAATGTAACAACACAAGTAAATCAAAATAAAGATAAAAAAATATAGTTGAGACAACATATGGGGTGCCTCGTATTAAAAAGACATAGTTTTGAGATAACATGCACCCGATTTGTCACATCCAAAATTTTATCATATGATTTTCATAAATTACACAAATCGACGAATTTACATTTTTAAAAA